TGATAGGGGTGCGCGATCAAAAAAGTTTGGAGACCACTGTTATAGAGAAGTAATTTTGCCAGACAAGTTAGATTACTAATTAAGTTACTATCTGTATTGAGTTAAAAAAGCGGTTCTGGATATTGTAATCCTCACTCATTTGAGTAGTTCTGTTCAAACGAGTGATTCCCACTAAATTAAGTAGAATTACTCAAGTGATTAAAGACAGCCTTAATAATTAACACTTGAAAGACTGCACTTTTAGGAGAGGAAGTGAAAATGACAGATATGTGGATTTTAATGAATATGTAAGAATATACACCACCAGTAGTAAGAAACAGCAGAGCACCTAACTGGGTTGTGTTTCCAATGAAGTATGACAGAGTTCAGGGTTACAGTCTTTAGCATCTTTGTTACAAATGACAAACGCGTTCATGAAATCTGCAGATTATACTCAACAAGGAAGAAGTGGGATTACTAGTTATGGCAGCAAAATAATACAGAGGGGCCTAGAGAGATTAGAAGCATGGGAAGGACATCAAGAAATGAAATTCATCTTGGAAGAATGAAACTAATCTCTGAGAGACACAATCCAGAACCCAGTGCAGAGCACCTAACTGGGTTATGTTTCCAATGAAGTACGACAGAGTTCAGGGTTAGAGTCTTTAGCATCTTTATTACAAATGACAAGCACGTTCATGAAATCTGCAGATTATACTAAATAAGGAAGAAGTGGGATTACTAGTTATGGCAGCAAAATAATACAGAGGGGCCTAGAGAGATTAGAAGCATGGGAAGGACATCAAGAAATGAAATTCATCTTGGAAGAATGAAACTAATCTCTGAGAGACACAATCCAGAACCCAGTGCAAGGGAGGGGTGACTGAAAGAGCCCTAGAAGGCGAGAGAGGGTGACAGATTCATCCTGATTTGCAATGTGATGTAGCAGCAAGAAAAGAGTCAGTAATGTTTTGGGCAGCAAATGCATCATGTCCTGCATGAAGGAGAAATCGCCTGTCTCTCAAACCCTTGTGAGAATACGGCTGGAATAGTTCCAGCAGGCACTGTCCTAGGAGCCTCATTACCAGAAAAACTTCTGAGAAGTGGGCAAAGTTCAGAGAGCATCAGTAACAGCGATCAGGGGTCTGGAAGGGACACGTACTCAGAGCAAGACCGGGAAGCTATATTGATATAGTGCATGTAAAAGATGACTGGAAGGATGCGATAAGTGTCTAGAAATATCAGAAAGGCCAAGCACCAAGGAAAGTGATGAATTACCTGAGGAAATTCAAGGGTGTGGCATTTACTGACTTGTTTGTCACATTTGCAAACTTCAGGTCATACATCCTGTTAGTCTTCAGGGTTACACAGTCTCATGGACACACTTGTCCTCCCAACACCTCCGTGTTTTCTGTGTTCCATTCATGTAAAGCGTCTCGGTTCACAGCAAACTGTTAATCTCTTTGGAGTAAGAACTATGTCCTGCTATGTGTTTTCAACACCTAACAGCACAGGTCCAGTCAAGAGCTTTGAGCACTACCACAATAAAATAATCAGTATTTATAAGGGGCATAACTAAGAAAAATGGAATTAAATTAAGAAAAATATTGTCCAGGGAAACTTCTTGCCAGGGAAGTTTTATAGTTTCATAGTTGGTAGTGTCGGAAAGGACCGGAGCAGATCATCAAGTCCGACCACCTGCCATGGCAGGAAAGAGTACTGGGGTCAAACGACCCTGGCCAGGTGTTCATCCAGCCTCCTTTTAAAGACCCCCAGGGTAGGAGCCAGCACCACTTTTCTTGGAAGTTGGTTCCAGATCCTGGCTGCCCTGGCCGTGAAGTCACGCCTCCTCATGTCTAGCCTGAATCTGCCCTCTGCCAGCTTGTGACCATTATTTCTGGTCACTCCTGGTGGTGTTTGGGGGAACAGGGACTCCCCCAATGCCTGCTGCTCCAAAGTCAGAGGGAGCGATGAAAGACCCCTTGCTTGGGATGTTTAAAACTAGACTGCACAAAATACTAGAAGGCTTCCTGTAGGCAGTAACCTTGTTTTGACTCGCAGGGAATTATCTGCATTCTGACCTGATTGATCTTTCCGTTGCTAATGTTTATGAGTTTGTTATACTATGATCAACCTTTGATAACATTAGGCTAATCTTGTAACAATCAAACTTTAAGTTTAAGGGCCTGAAATTAAGTGAGCTGTGAGTCATTTGGAAGCCTCTGACTAATATTTCTGTTGCACTGCCTTTTCTTTGGGTCTCAGAGGATCTAGAGATTCAAGAGGTCTAAGCTTTGTGAAATCTCTTTCCATTTAATCAGAAAAAAGGAGAGCCACTTCCATGCCCTTCAAATTATTCTTTTTACAAAGAAGGATTTTATATTACTGGGTACCAGACTTTGTTAATGTTTATTTATTCCCTGAGTGCTCCCACTACTCGGTGTTTTGTTGTTTTCCTAGTCATAGCAACAGGAGTCATACAGGGATTCGAGTGCTTCACTGACTATGCCAAAGAGCTGGTTTGTCAGTGGGGGGTACACGCCCAAGTGAACTGCTCCGAGGTATTTCTCCGCTACTACCAGAACGACGATCCTACATCGCCGTGAGTATTGATGGACTGATCTGTGACTGTTGCTGAAACATTACATGTGCTGTCACCAGGAGCCACTCTGCCTCGTTCTCCATGGGCACAAGGCACTGGGGACACCGCAGAATCAACCTTCCTGTGTTGGACATTCCCCAACCTCCACCTGATGCGCACACACCTGCAAATGACTGGACTAAGATGCCAGGATGCAGCCCTGGGGGAGTAGATTGCCCCCTACCCCAACCCTAGATCCCATCGGCTCTCCTGTGCATACAGCCAGTGTTCCCAGGACCCAATCCTTGCTCCTACACATGCAGCATCCCTGGTCCTCTTGTACAGAGTGTCACTTGCCCAAGTAAGGCACCATTTCCAGGCTGTTCCTCACCATCCAGTTTCTCCCTGGAGGCACCCAAGTGACCTTGCTTTAGGCAGGTTGAGTGACCTACCTAAAGGCCTTTCACCACATGCATGCTCTCCCCAATGCAGAAGAGCAAGGGAAATGCACTTCCGGTGCTCATGCTTCCTCTAAGAACCAGTCTGTACATTTCTGTGTTTGGTTTTTGCTGGGAGGGGCAGGGAGCTGAGTGTTTCTCACTCAGTGTGTTCTGAAAAGCATTCAGTTTCTTTATCTTTCAGGTCCCTTCACCCCGGGAGCCTTAGCCAATGATACTGAACGTGGCTTGCATGTTTGCAGTGCTGAATGTGATGTAAAGATCTTATCATTTCCTGCCTGTTTTTCAGAAAACAGGAGTGTGTCCTTAAGAATGGAGAAGACAGCAGCAGGAGCTCCACCTCCAATTGCACTTGTACAATTCTGCCTGATTTTTTTGCACGTGGCTTAAGATACAAGTTAGAACTGGAGTTTAACAGGAGGGTGGTGTGGAACAGCACTATTCAACCTGCATCCGTTGGTGAGACACTGTTTTTTTTAAGTTTATCATGGGTATATTCCATTCATAAGAATGTAAGAACATTAGAAATGCCATCCTACGTTAGACCAATGGTCCCTCTAAGACCAGCCTCCTCTCCCCAACAGTGACAGTAGTGGATGCTATACAGGGAGAACATCAAACCAGGTACCTGTAGAGTGAGCTAGTCCCTATTCAGTGCCCTCCCTGGCATCAAACATTTATTGGGTTAGAGGTGCCAGAGGAAACGTCTCCAACCTTTGTGTCCAGGAGCAGTTACTACGTCTGTCATCCATGAATTTTCCCAGTCCCTTTCTGAGCCTGGCTCTGCTCTCTCTCTCCACCACCTCCTCTGCAATGAATTCCACACGTGAACTACGCACTGTGTAAAAAAAAACATACTTTCTCTTTGTAGCAGGGCACCGAGGTGCCTGCTGCTTGTGGAGCCATAAGTGAGGAGCCCAGCTGCAGGTTGCCAGGGTAACCAGTGGGAGTCAGCTGACAGGAAGGGGCAGGGCCTGGCTCCCATATAACTCCCAGGCTGAAGCCAGGCAGGCGGTTGCCTGCAGCAGCCATAGGGGTAGGAGCTCTGCCGGAGCGAGAAAAAGGAAGAGTCTAGAACATACAGGCAGTTGTTCGGGTGAGAGATGGAGAAACCCGGTGACAGACTTGAAGGTGATTATGGCCAGATGGCTTAGGTTTATGTTATAGCCAAAGGGCTTGAATTTGTGTTGACAGTTTATGACCGGAGGACCGGGTGAGGCTATAAGGGGATAGAAGAGGCCTCATAGGGGAGTCACGGCCGTGTGGAGACCCCAGAGAAGCCCCAGGGGGGGGGCAGTGAGAAGCCCCAGAAAGGGGGCTGCAGAAAGCCATAGCGCCTGTGGGGCGCGTGTCCGAGACAAGGCTGCGGAGAGCCTGAGCGCCAGAGAGGGCACAGAGAGTGAGATAGACCAAACAACGTCCGGTACATCTGCGAGGCTTGGGGCGTGGTACAGGGGTGGTTGGAGCCACGCATAGCCCATAAGGCTGGGGTGTTCGGACCCCCGTTGTATAAGCAAGGATCGGGGTAGCAGAAACCGTGACCAGGAGGATGAGAGGCAGCCTCCCTTTAACTTTTGTGAGATCAAGACATGGCAGGCGAGAATGAGGGTGCATTAACGCAAACTTGGCACAGTAGGGGGTGCTAGGGGCGAGCACAGCAACCCTAGGAAGTTTCCCCCCGCCTGGTACACTCTTGTTAGTTTTAAATGTGTCACCTACTAATTTCAGCAGGTACCCCCTATTTCCAGGAATCTGGGACTTAGAGAACAGCAGTTCCCTGTTCATTTGGTCCATTGCCTTCATGATTTCATAGACTTCTATCATACCCCGCTCAGCCTCCTCTTTTCCAAAGTGAAGAGTCCCAGCCTTCTTAGTCTTTCCTGGTATGGCAACTGCTCAGTGCTCCTGACTGTTTTGGTTGCCCTTCCATACTTCACATTCCCCAACCAGCCACCTCACTGGCATTTCTCTAGTGTTTCCACTCAACTGACTTGTCTCCCTGCTGTTGCCAGATATCTATATTTGTCTTCATCTCTGTGACAAGAAAACTCTAGAAAAATATCTTTCAAATTCTTATTAGCAGTCTTTGACAGAAACTAAAAAAACTCTTCCGAGTCTTCATGAATCACACTGAGCAGAACAAATATCATCTTCTCTGGAATACAAAGTAAAATAAACTATCTCATATTTAAACAGCTAATGCTCATCATATTAGCAAAATTCAGTCCACTCCAAACAAAATGTAGTGGAGTGAACACATCAAAATCCCTAAACAACCTGATATTTGAAGAAACCCTAAATAAAAGTTCATTTTACAATCTGTATGTGAGTAAACAACTAAATTAATTAACATCCATAACATTTTGAAAAGCAAGAGGTCCAACAGGAAAATTTATAGAAATTCTGTAGGGCTACAGGGTTTGTCTACAAACCCCCTCCCACCCCCCACAGCTCTAAAAATAGAGGTAAAGCTACAAAAGTGGAAATACTGTATTATCCATTCAGCATCTTCTCATCCTCTCAGAGAAGTGTACGTATAATTTAGCTGTTACGTGGAAATGGCATTTTGGGGTGAAGTGGAATACCCCACTTCACATTTCTGAGAGGAACACAGAGGACCCTGCCCAGGATTTGTGGCCCCTGCACATCTCATTAGCATTTAAGCCCCATGCTAAGTGTGTGAATGCACAGCCCAGGTCATGTGTACAGGGTGGTCTGTGAAGAATACCCCTTCTTCTGCCCACTCTCCTGAGTCAAGGTTCTCACTTTACAGTGCTCTCCCCAACGTTTTTCTTTAATAATGCAGTTAAACCAAGAGCCCCAAAACTGCTTGAGGTACAGCAGTGCAAGAACAATAACTTCAACCTGAGTTGGGAGAACAGCTATAGTAAAGAACACCTGCTCTATGGAGAACCGGTGACTTACGAAGTTAAATATTGGATAAAACAACATCCAGAAGAGGTAGGAACTTCCTGTTTCTTTGCTTTCTGTCTCTTGAGCTTGAATCCAGCAGGGGATGAGTGAGTGCTGTCCCATCAGTTTCCTACAGAAGAACAGTAATATACAATGGTAACCCTTGCTTCGGTGATATCAGTGGGAGCTCAAATGGGGAACTAAAAGTCATGGTTCTCATCTGAGCACTGCATGGAGGATAAGCCATGTCTGTGCAAACTGTCAAAGCAAGAAGCCACTCAGAGCAGATGGGAGTGAGGATTGTCATGGGCTTGCTCTGGCTGTGTGGGCATGATGAGGCTTGACCCTGCCCTGGGCTCTGTGTCTTCGGTGGGGCTCAGACGTGCAGCCAGTGGCTCCTGGGCTAGGGACAAGTAATAAGTATTGGCATCTCCTGAGCAGTAGCTCCTGATGGCACCAGAAGGCAGCCTCACAGAGAAAGATTGCTGTGACGGAGCACCAGCAAGGTGCTCGCCACTTGGGGGCTGTTGCAGGCAGAGAGGGAGCCTGCTTTGTGAGCAGCAGGGAAAGCCTCCCCTAGGAACCGTTTTAAGGGGGAAGGTGGGTGATAGAGCACCTTTGGTGTATGCCGCTTTAATGAGGAGAGCAGGCAACCACCAGGTGCAGGCCAGCCCTGACGAGGTGGTCATTTTACAATCCTGGCTCTCAGGGCGGTGGCAGCAGTTTGCTCCCAGCAGCCGATGGAGCAACAACACCCGTCTGAGCTGCTGCTCATGGAACATCTTGGAGGTAAGGGCGGGAGCTAGGGGGATGGGGAGGCTCCTAGTCCTGGGCACGACTGAAAACTGCACCCTGCCAGGGAAGGGAGGCCTGGTGGGACTGGCCATGGAAGGACAGTCCCTCAGAAATGCGCAGCCAGTTACCTCCCCGGTGCAAGGTAAGTAGGAGCACCTTAAAACTGCAGCCCCACTGCCCAATGAGTGATTAACGTTGGAGGGGAGTAGGGCCAGGCATGCCCAGAGAGGACACCTGAGCCCAGAGTGGGTAGTGGGGCCAGGTCCGCCTATCAGGAGGCACCTGAGCCTGTAGAGGTGGAAGACCCTGGAGACTAGTGGAGGATGTTATCCAGTGAGGGGCCAGGGGTGGAGTTAGTTCGGTGCCTGGTAAATTGCCCAGCCACCACACAGGTGAGTGTTGTGGGAGAAGCCCAAAAGGCTGTGCCAGGGCTGGCCAAGGAGTTCAGAGACAAGCCTGATGGTCTACATGATCACTCAACGGAGCAGGGCAGGGAGAATGTGGCCTGGTAAAGGGCATGAATGCAAGAGACCTGGTAGGAGCAGGTGGAGTGGTAGAGGTCCCAGTGACAAGGGGGTGGTATGTGTGAGGCCCCAAACAGGGCAGCATGAGAGAGGCCTAACAACGTGCTGAGTTGGGCTCAGCCTCAAGCCGGAGCATAACATAACTCACAGATGTCTTCTGCAAGGCATGGGACACAATAAGGGGAGGTTGGAGTTGTGTGTGGACCACCCTTTGACATCAGGGAGCTCGAAGGGCAGCCTCCCACGTAATTAACATCCTAATTATTTAGCAAAAAGGCATGGCGGGCAAGTAAGGTGGGCGGCTTGCCCAAAGACAGGTGGTCAGGCCAGCACTGTGACCGGGCCTGGAAGTTTGCCCCCTGTCACAATTGCACAGATCTGTGTGCCCCTGCCCTTCCCCATGTCAGTACTGGAACAGTTAATAATAGTGCTGTTTAAATAAGCACCATCAGGCACCACTCTCAAAGGTGCATAGGTCAGTTCTGCCCCTCCCAGCTCCTTCCTAGGCTCTCTGCAGCCTCAGGAAGAAGTTGCAGAGTTGCATTTGAGTTTTGCTTTTGGCATTTTCCCCACAATGTGGAACAGCCAGAGCTCCTATTTGTTTAAAATGAAAGTTAAGATGTAGCCCAGGGTGGTGACTTCAGAGAGGTGCCAAGACACTGTACCATTGCAGACTGGCCCAATGCAAGTCCTGAATACCCCTGAATTGATGTTTCACTAAATTCAGAGTTTTAATGACATGCCTAGAGTATTGAAGTTCAACAGTAATAGGCTTAGGTTTCAGAATGACTCAGATTCAGTTTGCTTTGTTTAAATCATTCAGATAAAGTATGTGCGTGTGTGTGTCAATAGCTTTAACTCACTTGAAATTGTAAAGCAAATAATTGTATTTCTCTTCAAATGTATCTCAGTCTTTGGTTCACCCGCACATAGTAGTAAGATGGTTACAGCAGTCAAATCAGTGTCCTACACTCACAAAACTTGATATCCTGCTTGGCAGTGTTGGAAACTAAACACATATTATTCTGTGGTCTCCAGCAAAGTGTGTTTCCTTGCTGTTTTCCAGGCAACTGTAGAATGTTTTAGCTACCAAACAACAAGTTTTGAAATCTTTGCAACCCAGCTAAAACGAGGGTTCATCTATGTTGTAAGCATACGATGTAAATATCCGGAGTACACAGAAACTTGGAGCGAATGGAGCAACGTTGCTGAATTTCAGAGTGGTGAGTAGTAGTGACAGCAGAACCCAGCAGAAAGGTACTGCAGGAGTTACAAACTGCATGGTATGCATCCCATTGCATTCATTCCTTCTGTGCAACTCAGCACAGCATAACCAGTAAGCCCCGGGGGCTGCTAACACAAAGATCACTGTCAGTGTTTATGTTCCAGCATTATGTATGTAGACCAAAAGTGGCACAGACTGAGAAGAAAGATGACCTAGCTCACATTGACTCATTGCCTTCACAAAAACCCTGAGTGCCATGGCCATAGACTCTCATGCATTCAGTGCTTGCATGTGGGCTTTGTTTCAAGATGGCATTATGTTAGGGTGTATAAAAGAATATTGTCCTTGATTCTTATCAGCTGTGCTTACATATTTTCATATATGTAATGTGTGTGTATATGTGTTTATTTCACAGATAATGGGATAACTTTAGAAGGCTATCTGCAGATGGTTGTTCCCATATCCTGCTCACTGATCATGGCTCTGATTTTAATGTGCTACTTCTGTTTCTCCAGGTATGTATCATTCTGCACGCAGGCTTGCAGAACCACAGCTTGCACAGATATACAGAAAAATGGCATGCACAGTAGCATAGTACCCCAACACTTTATAATAAAGAAGCACCTGCTACCTGAGGATCAGCAAGGAAGCTTTTCACAAATATGAAGTAAACTTAATGTGACCTTTCAGAACTAGTAATGAATATGTACTGTTGGTCGAATTCGAACAGGGTGCATGAATGTGGCCTCAGTAAAAAGCTATATTCTGAAAAAAATATTACCTCCTTTTACAGAAGGGAAAACTGGAATACTGAGAGGTCAAAAGGAGCTGGGCAGAGTCTGGGATAGGAGCTCTGCACTCCTGTAATCACTTTACATGGCCCCTCTCCACTCACCTACCTCTGCTGTTGTCTGGTGAGCTGAGCTTCATAGGAACCTTTTGAAGCTTATAAGAGTATTCAAAACAACCTGAAATCCTGCATGAAAGACTGACATGACTGTGAGAGAGGCCATTCACCACATTAGTCTGAAGTAAGGCAGAAAGTGGCACCCTATAAACTAACCTGTTCAGAGAGGCATGAGCTTTTGTGGGCTACAGCCTCCTTCATCAGAAGCTGATTTTATGTGATTTTTAAAGGGCAATATCTGAGCTCTCAGGCTTCCTTGTCCATGCTCAGGATAAATCCTCTGCAAAACCCTCAAGATTTGGTCTGTAGACACTAAAAACAGCAAGGGCAGGCAATATAAAGACACGGCATTATCAGAGAGAACCTCCTCATCTGTGAAAGTATTCTCCATGTCAGAAGACTATTTTTTGTCTGGGGGTAGCATCTTTATTAGTTTATCAATAGCGTTAATCTCTATTAATCTGTAGCATGAATTACACTTTATGAATCCTTTATTTATGAAGATTATGGATTTACCTGTTTTCTCACCGTATCAAACAATGTGCAACTGTGGTTGCAGGGACCAGTTAAACATTGAAACAAGCCAACATGTTTACACTGGTTTGCTGGCAAACAGTCACTCCTGGATTACGTAGAATAAGTATTTCCTGCTGCTGGAATATGCAAACAGCTTGGGGAAAAAGCAAGTCAGGCAGGATTTGCTTGGTGTGCATGGGTGGGACCAAGGGTGAAGGCAACTAAGAGCAAACTCTGGTTCTTGCTTTGCAGAATTAAGAAGGAATGGTGGGATCAAATCCCGAATCCAGCCAAGAGCCATTTGGTCGTAAAGAAAGTCAAGGGGGCTCAGGTATGAGATCAAAGTGTGTTACAGAAACACCGTTTCCTGTTTGTTTAAAGAACAGAAGATGTAGCACAGTCTGATATTGACTGTGGTGCAGAGGAGTACAGAGATTAAGTCTATTGTGTCTGTATTAGTTTTCAGTCTTGAAGACAGTGCGCAGCATTGATGAAATTAAGGCACCTTTCCCTGACGTGAAACAGAGTCACTTGTAAGTAAGATCAAGAAATTGTCTCTGCCTCACAACATAGCATGTTCTACTTTTACATAAATAGTAATTGCATTTTCCTTTTCTTCACCCAAAGCACAAGTTGTAAGAATTGTCTGACTCGAGGTCCTTTGCAACAAAGCTTTAAGGGAACAGACAATATCGGGAATACTGAGAAATCCTGCATCTGTCTAAATAAGCCTGAAGAATGGTTCCCAAAAGGATACAATGCTGTTTTAACTCCTGAGACCACTGTGGTTGAAGAGTCTCTTGAAATCTCTGAGTACTCAACAGGCACCAAGATAGAGAGCCCAGAGGAGGATGAAGATCAGAAACTGCTATCCCAGTCATGGGAAAGCAGTGCCAACAGTTTCACAGGGCACATTGTACATGACAGTATGTTGGAAGATATGTTTATTGCCGTTTGCGGGACCAATACACATGATACCCAAGTCCCAGACTTCAGCATAGTGGAGCTTCCAACCTTTGAGAATAGCAAATTGGATAATTCATCACAACAAACTGCAGACAATAGTGAGGTCCATGACCAGCTGTCCTGTGACCCTTTCTGCGGTCTTTCCTCTTCCACTGCAATCCCACAGGATGAGTACAACTGCAGTGCAGTGAGCCACATGTCCATGCGGTCAGAAGACTCCTGTGAATCTGGTTATCAGAGCTCTAGCACAGACACGGCTTCTCCCCGGGCAAAGAGTCCTCCTGATGGGCTGCATGAAAGCCACAGTCCTGGCAGTTCTGACCCCTGGCACCACGTGTTGGTCTCAAATCAAACATTGCCAACTGTCCCTGTCCCTGAGATCACACAAGGCCCAGCCTACAAGACCTTCAGCAGCCTCCTGGCCACAACCACGGAACCATGTAACCCAGCCTACAAGAGCTTTGGCAACCTCCTGGCCACGATCACAGAGTCGTGTAACCCAGCCTGCAAGAGCTTCAGCAGCCTCCTGGCCACAACCACAGAGCCATGTACCACAGGCTACAAGAGCTTTGGCAGCCTCTTGGCAACAACCATGGAGCTGTGTAACCCAGCCTACAAAACCTTCAGCAGCCTCCTGGCCCCAGACAAGGAGCCATGTAATCCAGCCTACAAGAGCCTCAGCAGCCTCCTGGCCACAACCACAGAGCCATGTGACGCAGCCTACAAGAGCTTTGGCAGCCTTCTGGCTCCAGACATGGAGCAGTGTAATCCAGCCTACAAGAGCTTCAACAGCCTCCTGGCCCCGGGCACGGAGCCATGTAATCCAGCCTACAAGAGTTTCAGCAGCCTCCTGCCTCCAGACACAGAGCCATATAACCCAGACTACAAGAGCTTCAGCAGCCTCCTGCCTCCAGACACAGAGCCGTATAACCCAGACTACAAGAGCTTCAGCAGCCTCCTGCCTCCAGACACAGAGCCGTATAACCCAGACTACAAGAGCTTCAGCAGCCTCCTGCCTCCAGACACAGAGCCGTATAACCCAGACTACAAGAGCTTCAGCAGCCTCCTGCCTCCAGACACAGAGCCGTATAACCCAGACTACAAGAGCTTCAGCAGCCTCCTGCCTCCAGACACAGAGCCGTATAACCCAGACTACAAGAGCTTCAGCAGCCTCCTGCCTCCAGACACAGAGCCGTATAACCCAGACTACAAGAGCTTCAGCAGCCTCCTGGCCCAGCACACAGAGCTGTATAACCCAGCCTACAAGAGCTTCAACAGCCTCCTTGCTCACTCCCCAGCCAGTGATCACCTGGTTCCAAGGATGGAAGCCAGGAACTCATCATTGTCCATGGAAGAAGCAGCCCATCGCATCCTTGGTGACCAAGGATGCGACAGCAGCCACAAGCCTAATTTTGACAACACCTGTTCAGAAAACATGGACTTCCCATGTCCTCAGGCTCACGCAGCTGACAGGCCTTTGCCTTTCCTGCCAGCAACAGAAAAGTACAAGCAATTCACAAGCCAAAATGTTCCAAGCAAAACAGATGTGATTTCCTCCTCCCCTAGATCTAATCCCTCTAGTTACCAGCTTTCTGACATCACCACCAAGCACAGTAATGCCAACGGTGACAATGACAGCAAGGCGATGCTTGAATCACCCTATAAACCCTTTACTAGCCTTTTGCACAGCAACCTCAAAGAAACACTTCCAGGAATCATGGTTTGTGACTCTGACCTGGAGAGAGGGGAGGGCACACATCATACCTCACACAGTATTGACTCAGATGTTGCTGTGAGCTGTGCCACTGGTCTGAATTCCAGAGAGGATCTCGCACAAGACAGCAGGAGCAGCCCTTGGATGATCAGTTCCAGTGAATCTTCTCCACATGGCGAACATGAAGACAGTGTGGAAGAAGAAACATTCTTACATTCTTTGGGTTCCAGCTGTCATGGCTGCAAAAGCACAAGGACAAGCACAGAGGAGACAGAAAGTGGTCCTGCTGACTCTACGGGTGAAGAGGTGCCAGAAAGCAGCAATAACATGTGTCCCACTCCTAGGTGCCTCAAACATGGTCATTTAAGGAAGCCAGGAAATGCAGGAGAAAGTAGAGAGATGTTCCAGAATGCTGTGAGTGTGAGCTGCAGCTGTGCAGTTAACACAGAAGAAGAATCACTGAACAACAGAAATGTACCTAAGTCACCTTTAGAAAGAAATCAAACTGCAGAGCTTCTGGAACTCCAGAGCCCAGGAGAGTTCATACTAGGTGGCCTTTTTGTGGATGGCTTCTGTCCAGATTTTGGCTGCCTTCACCTGGAGCCATCCACAATGACACCTCTTGTTAAAAGAGCTCAGATGGAACTCATGAGCAAGAGCACCAGCATGGACCAGGAAATGGTGAAACTTGCACAAGCCCTTGCCCAGGAAGGCAATTGCTATATGAAGGTAGCCTAGATAAGCATAGCAAGGCAACAGCCAAGTTAGCTGTTGGGAATAAACTGGGGGGCAAATGCTTGTGTGGGCTGCCATGTCCACAGCTGCTCAAAAGTTGGTCACCTGACGGCTTGGGCTCTTGAAGATAGCTAGTTCACAACCCTCCCAGGGAATAATGACAACACAACAGAGACTGAGTGAGAGTCTGCCAGGCCTGATCCTGACCCTACAAGTAGCAGCTGCATGGGCTACAAGCTCCTGTTCAGTCTAGCTACTGCAAGACTATTCTGGCCCTGTATGTTTCCATGGGAACCATGGACACTGCAGCCCAGATTCGGATGTGGCCGGAAAGTGGTTTCATGTGCAGAAGAGCTACAAGAATATGCAGTTAAAGTAGGGGGTCGCTACCTTTCACTGATACATTCAAATGCCCTCTGATCAGCTGATTTTCAGGGGATGCAGGGGGATTGTGGCTGACCCAGCATGGGAAAGACGGCCATAGAAGTATCCTCTCATGCTCTGATGCTGTGGCTGGTGCTCTGTAGCCTCAAGCGATGATAGCAATGAGCCGGGTTCTGATCATGGAGGTGGTGGTGTCACTCCACAGTCACTCTGCTGAAGTCCATGGAGTTACTTCTTTAACCAAACATCTTTAAATGACACATGTGCAGGCAGCTGGCCCAGCGTGGGGTCCAAGCTTCCTCAGCTCCATGTGTTCCACCAGCTTTGTGTACCCTGGAAATGACGCTTGTAACTGAGATGGCATATGCCCCCTGCTAGATAATGATTCCCAGAGCTTCAGCTTGGACTGTGACCTCCATCAGTGCTGTGGTATCACTGTAAATTCCACAGGAAGGACTTTACCATGGGGACAGTGATACAAAACAGTTCATGAGCTGCAGCAAACTGTATTTTTTATCTCGAGCCAGCTCATGTTGCTCAAAAATTCTGTTCCTACTCCCTCTGTAAACACAAAGGGCAAGCCAGCTCAAAGAACATACCTGCTGTCACTGTTTAACTCTTCTCTAGAAGCACCTCGTCCTTTGGCATCCTCGGCAAACCCCAGGCAAGGTTGCCAGTGCCCCAGCTACATCTCTGCTGTGATGATAAGGGGGAGCACAGACTCAGGAGAGCACTTCCCAGTGAGGTGCACGTACTCAGATGTCTATGTTTGTGCAGGCATCGCTACTCAGACAGCCACCTGGAAGGGAACAAACGTCACTGCTCATTGTTAACATGGTGAGGGCACATTAAAGGTCTTGACCAGAATTCCCAGGTAGACGCTGTCCTTTCACTCGATAGCTTTAAATGTGTGTGAAGTATTCTGTACGTCCACCATGGGGTGAGTACAGCCCGTGTGCTGCCATAGGACATGACCAACAAGCATTTCAGCTCATTTCTGTGCTTCAGAGATCTGTCAGGCTGTTGCCAGAAAGCCTTGGGGGTGGGAGGAAGTGCCCTGTCTCCCTCAGCCTTCCCAGAGCAACCACTGAGCAGCGGGTTTGGAGCTGGCAACGAGTTCTGCCCTTGTGGAAGAAAACGAAAGTGGTTTTGTATCCTGTGCTGGGTTGGTTTCACATGCTGAACATAAAGCAAGGAAGAGAGTGTTTTTCAGGCTGTGTTCTGCTTCCCAGCATGTGAAAATTGTAAACCCACGTCTTTTTTGGTTGATTTGTGTGTTTTTGCTGCTCTAAATCAACACATCTCTTTGGATGGCAGCACTCAGAACTGGTCCAGCACTACTGGACCTTCCCCCATGGGGTCATGAAATGCCACTAGTCCCATCTCACAGAAAGGGAGACTGGGGGAGGAAATGACCTGCAGGAGATGGTACAGCAGCTCTGTGGCTGAACTGAGGTTTCCTGCCACTGGGAGACTGCACTCATACATGGTTTTATTTGCACATACAGTACAAATAACTGTCACGTGAAGCATGTCTTTCCCCATTAGCTGTTAGTGGCTCCAGGTAGTTCGTGTGCCCAGCACTGCAGTGACACTTCAAGAGCTCTGCATGGCTTATGGGCTTGGTGTCAAGACCACTGGGCAGGATGGAGGGGACAAAGACCTTGGAGCAGCTGCCGTTTGGGCCACAGCACAAGGACAAGAGTCCTGTGGAGCTGCGCACAGGGGCCAAATCATTTTCAGTTTCTTTGACCCCACAGGAGGTCCTGGTGTTTTCTAGTTGCTGCAGTTGGAGGTCCTGTCCTGCGGATGGGGTGGACTTTTCTGCGTGCCGTACTTTGCCCAGTCACAGGCAGGAGACAGAATGGCTCCAAACTCCACCCCGAGGCAGAGTCCTCCTGCCCGTCCTTGCCAGAGAAGGCAGGACTGTCACGTAGGCTGTGCAGACAGCTCTGCTCCACTCCTTCATCCAACACGCAACCTGTTGCACGCAGCCTCAACTGCTGCCTGAGGGCAGGGTGGAGAGCGGGCATGCAGCTTGGCTGGTGCACTGAAAAAGGGCTCTGAGCAAGCGTTGCTGCTGCATGGCAGACACTGCTCAGTTTCTGTCTGGGACTGTCTGGCACAGAGCTATGACTTCCTCCTTTGCAGTATTTTGCAACGACTTTCACTGGTATTCGGTGGACTGGCTGCATTGTGATTGGAGCTATACTGGTGCCAGTGTCCCCAGTCGACCAGTCTAAAGGATTGGGGGGCAAAGTTACTGCGTTCCCAGCGCTGGTGATACCAGCACGGGTGTGTTTGAATCAAGCAACTACAAGCACTGCTCCAGCAGCGCTGTCTCCAATCCTGTTACCAGGTCTGGCATCACGCCAAGTGCAAGCAGCGGCCCTTAACAACAGCTGAGTGGCAGTAGAAATATCCCCCAGCCAGAGGCTTTCTTCTCAAATTGGAGTGGCCCAGAGGACAGCAACTAAACCTGTCAGAGGCTGGAAGAAATGTGGGTTATTTAGTCTAGAGAAAAGACTGAGAGGCAATTTGAGAAGTCTTCAAATACAAGAATTGTTATAAAGAGAATGGCCGCCGACTTCTCTGCGTGTCCACAGAGGACAGGAGAAGTAATGGGCTCAGGCTGCTGCCGGGGAGATTTGGTCGGAGCTTCCTATGAGGGGGCTCGGCACTGGCACAAGTGGGGGCTCCTGCCCTCCTCTACCCCATTGCCCGGGGCAGGAACTGCGGCTAGGAGCCAGACGGGACGACCCCAGGCCAGGCCCTCAGCTAGTCCAAGCATCTGCCCCCACGCTGGCTGCACTGCCTCTGCCTGCGCTGAGGGCTGGTTTGCTCCAGTCCCTCCCTCAGCCTTGTCCATGCCTGCCTCTTCCCTTCCCACCCAAATTAACCCGCTGGAGGAGCTCCCAGAGGCGCTGGCGCAGCGCTGGGTGGGGCGTCCTGGGGTGTGCCTTGGTCCCATGCCCACCAGCCCCCATGGTGGGGTGGGCTTCTCAGGGAGCGGCTGGCTCTAGCACTCAGCCTCGCCTTTGCAAAGGCGATCCATGGGCCCCTTGCCTCTGTTTGAGGACACTGCTCAGGAGGGGCACAGGCGACCTGCCCGCTCACACCCACGTTGAACACCTCCGGCAGCCTCACAGGTCGCAGCTCGTATTCTTTTCCTAGGAAACAAGTGATTCGTTCTAGAAACTGAATAGAAAAAAACCCAAAAGGAGCCGCAGAAATGCAGGCCAAAGCCATAAGTCACACCCGCCCCAGCCCTAGCTGTGCCATCCTTGGTTTCTTTCATTGCTTGTGACAGCCTTGGTTGTGACCTGAAGAGGTGCTGAATCTCTGATGCCGGAGGTTTTTACAAGCAGTTCAAGCAGGCCCTCGGCTGGAACGGGTCAGACAGTGATGATCCTGCCCTGAGCAGGGGCTGGGCTAGAGGGGCTCCCGGGACCCGTCCACCTGCTTCTCCGTCATTCTGTACCGGCAAAGTGCTTGAGGCTGCTCAAGACAACCTCCTGCACCCGACATTCATGCTAGGATGGGACGGGCTCCACCTTTCCCCTAAAGG